CGCTTCAGAGACAAATCTCCTGAGGGCCCAGCGTCAGGGAGGGCCCTGTTCTCTCATCTGCACCTCCATGAGCCCACGGATTTCAGCATGAAGGTCAAAGAAAAGTTCCCTTGGGGTTTCAGAGATGGGTGGGAAGAAACCATTCTAAGATATACCCAGAACAAACTGTTTTCCTTAACAGTCCTCAAGGAGAATGATTTTACTGTCAACTTGGGTTTCACTGGAACCTGTCACAGGGAAAGGATAAACCCAACTCCGGCTCCAATTAGTCATCTTGTTCCACCTTAGGGAAAAAAAAAATGCCCAGAAGTAACTGTGAAGGGAGAAGGGCCACTAAAAGCTAAGACGTCATAACAGACGACAGAGTACCTGCCCTCCCCGCACAGTGCTCCTGCGTAACAGGACTACAACTGAAAGATCTGCAAGGCTCTATTTCAAAAGCAGCCCTGTATGAGCATGTGCATATTTATTACAGGGCAATTCACAATAGCCCTGATATGGAATCACCCCTTGTTGCCTGTCAAGAGATGAATGAGTAAAGGATATATGGTAGATGTACACAATGGAACATTATTCAGCAATAAAGAACATTTGCAGGAAAATTAGATGAAACTGGAGAGAGACCATCCTGTTATGTGAAATAAGCCAGACTCAGAAAGATAAGTACATGTTTTGCCTAGTAAGTGGAATCTAAGGAGGGAAAAGAAGACTATGATAGAAAAGGAAGGGAATCAGGGAGAGGGGGAAGAGAATGTAAAGGTGGATCATGGTGGGAAGGCCTGATCAAAGTATGTTATATGCATGTATGAAAACGTCAAAACGAAACCCAGCAGGAAAAGGTTATCTAGGGGAACCTAAAACATGGGAGACAAAATAAGGACACTAGAGAAAACTGAACCTTCAAACACTTAAGAAAACAGGAAACAAGACCCAAATTCACAGCCACACAAACATAAAAACTCATGCTGAAGGTCAATTAATCTTGGTTTTTATTATCGCATACAATATGTGCTGCTTTCACTCAAAATTTCTAAGGTGCATCAAAAGGCAAAAAACAACGTGAGGAGACAAAGCAAGCATCAGAACCAGACTCAGATATGGCAGAAGTTTTGGAATTATGAGACCAAGAATTTAAAATAATTTTACTTAATATGCTGAGGCCTCTAATAGAACAAGTGAATAAAAGACAAGAACAAGTGGCTGATACAAACATGAAAACTTGAAGGAAGAATTAAAATGACGTACGGAAGTGAGGAATTAGGATAAAGGAAATGTGCAAAGAAATGGAATGAAAGGGTTGAACAAAGAGCCAGTGGTTGTGTCTACCACAATGGGATATTTAGCCACTGTTGTTAAGCCCAAGGGAAGGATCTAACACATGAAAAATTTAAGTGAGAAGACAGAAAATGGATAAATGCTTTGAGAGATCCTTTACAAGATCTGGTTTAAAACTCACAAGGAGGGCCAGGGATTTAGCTCAGTGGTTATGCCACCTGTCTCAAAAGCACAAGGACCCGAGTTCGATCCCCAGTACAAAAAAAACCAAAACTCCAACGTAAGAAGAGTAGAAATGATATTAGGTCAAGTCACCAAGTTGTGCATTTCAATGTCTTTGGTGCTTTGCTTTCTTTTGCTTTTTTAAAATGTTGACAAAGTTTATTTGAAAAGTAAAAGTGAAGACTGAGGGAAAAACTGGCTCTGCAGACCGAGCTTGGCCAAAAAGAAAAGAAAAAGTAAGATAAAAGTACACCCTGGAGAACACTGGGTAGGCTATGAGGAAAACCACAATAGCCAACACTTTGTTTTTGTTAGATAACATGGAATGGATTTCTCAAAAAAACAAAGGTTACACTACTTCCCCAGTCACATGCTTTCCTTTCATTAAACTATTATAAGTTTGTCATTAAGTAACTCCAAGGGAAACCCGGTGTGGTGGTGCACACCTATAATCACAGCACTCAGGAGGCTGAGGCAAGAGGATTGCCCGGAGTTTGAGGCCAGCCTGAACCACACAGTGAGTTCAAGGCCAGCCTGAACTACATAGTGAAATCCTATTTCAAGAAATAAAAAAAATTCCAAGCAATTTTTTCTAATGCCTTCAGGTACTATGAAAGTTGTATGATTTTTGTATTAATTTACACGAATTCACCTTAATTTCACTTTGAGATTTCCATACCTAGAAGTGAAAACAAAATTCTGAAGCACAACTGTGCCAGTATAAGCTTGGTTGTGTGACTAGGATCTGTGCGGAGGGAGGTGGGTGGTGTTGGTGGAGCACACTTCTGGGTCTGTCCAGGTGGGTCATGGTTGTTCCCTGCTTGGCTTCCTGGCTGTCATGAACTAAGGAGCTTTGCTCCACCAGGCCCTTCCACCGTGATGCTTCTGCCTTGGAGCCAGTATATCATGAACAAATTCCCTTAAAACGTGAGACAAATCAAATGTCTCCTCAAGTTATGAGTGTTGGGAACTGTGTCAAGCAATGGGAAAGCTAAGGTAACATTTTCATACATTCCTTTGCTCAATCAACAACTATTTATTGAGGATGTTCTTCATTCTAGGCAAAAGAGGACATTGCAGGAACAAAACAAAAATCTTCGCTCTCAATGAGTACCATTCCTGTATTAGTCACTTTCCCATCACTGAGATAAAATACCCGACACCTGCTTCTTTAAAGGGGGTGTTGTGGTTTATATCTCAACATCCCTGCAGAGCCTCGTGCACTCAAGTGGGGGTTCGGGGAGGTGACTGGATCACAAGGGTATAATACTTGTCAGTGGATTAGTCCACTGATGAGGCGAAGCCTGCCTGGTTGGAGGTGGGTCACTGGGGGTGTAGCCTAGGAGGATTTATCTTCCTCCATGCTCCCTTGATCTCTGTTCTGCTTTTTGCAACCTTGCCATGGACTGTTTCTCTTTGGCAATGCTCCTCTGCCATACTGCCCTGCCTTGGAGCCAGGTGACTATGAAATGAAACTTCTACAAACTGTGAGTCAAAATAAACCTTTTTTGTTAAGCTAAGAGTATTGGGTATTGTGTCTCTGTGATGAGAAAGTAACTAAGAAGGTGAGAGGTTTATTTGGCTCATGGTTTCAGAGGGTTCAGTCCATAGATGGCTGCCTCCAATGAACAAATGGTGGTGGACAGGGCTAGTAGAGGAAAGTTGCTCAACTCATCTAAGTCGGGAAGCAGAGAGGAGTCAGGGACAGCACTGCACCCTCAGTGGCTCACCTCTTCCAACCTGGCCCCACCTCTCAACAGCACATTCTGCAATGAACTCATAAAGAGGTTTATCTACCAATAAAATTAGTACTCCCATAATCCAGTAATCTTCCAAAAGCCCCACTTCTGAACATGTGAGACTTCTGGGGAATATTTTTGATATACACACTATAACAATTCCTTAGCTGCAGACAGCTTAATAACCCTCTATATAATATACCTTTAGAGAATAAAATGAAGCAAGGGTAAGGGATTGAAAGGCTAGGAGGAAAAGCATTATTTTATGTATGGTGGCATCTGGAATAAATGAGTCACAAGATGATCTGGGGCCACAATATTCCAAAAAAAATCAGCACAGGCACAGAAATGGAAATATTGTGAGGATGATGTCCTGTGGAACTGATCTGGAGTGTAACCACCCAAGAGGAAGAGTTCAAAGCCAGATCCTGTGGAGCCCCATAAGAACATGAACATTTACTCTGCAGAAATAAAAACTTGAGTAAGGTTTTAAGCAGAAAAGCCACACATTACTGTGTTAGCAAAGAGACTATTCAGACAGCTAACACAATAACAGTGATTTACTTATGAGTGGTACATAGTCTGGATTTATTTTGCAGGTAGGAAGTGCTGATTGTGTGGGAATATGAGAGAAGTTAAAGGTAACTCCAGGGTTTCATTTTTTTCCTTCCTAATTGAAAGAGTAAAATATGCCACTTCCTGAAATGGGAAAGACCAAACTGAAAAACAGGGGGAGTTAAATTTACTTTTGGGTGTAAATTTTGAGATGTCTATTAACTTCCACATGCAGATTTTTTAAAGTCTATTTACTTGGAGAGGTCTTAGCTAGAGCTACAAACTTGTGAATCATCAGTATAGGCATAGGCAATTTTCAAAGGGATAAAGATGTAGCGAAAAGAACAAGTTTAAGGAACGATGCCACTGACACTGCAATATTTATTACAGGAGAAATGAGTAAGACTTTTAAAAGAAGTAGCCATTAACCAAGGGAAGATCTAGGGCAGGGTGGTGTCCCAGAAAGAACTAAAGATCTCAAAACTCAAGAAGGGATCAAAGCTGCTCATGGGCCAGTTGAGACACGTAAGGCTGTCTACTGCATTTAGCTGGATGACTCTTAATGAATTCATAAGCGTCTTTGGTGAAGTGGTACGATGGACAAGAGTCTCCCTATCATATTTAAGGGCAAATACAAGGTTCTTTCCCAAGAACTTTCAACGAGTTCTGTTGATAAAAGATGAAGTGAACTAACTGGAGGTTGGAGAAGAAAGGACAAAAGTGATGTGTTATTATGGAGGGCAGAATGAACTGGGCTGCTTTCATGGGGACCATTTCAAGTAGTGAGACAAGTCGGCACTGCTGCGCGCTCCCCTCCAGTCTGGTCCATCTGCTGCAGCGCTGCAGAATGTTGTAGGCGGAAGATGATAGGATAGTATGGGAATGGCACAAAAGTCCGGCAGAACCGAGCACTGTAGAGTTCGGTCTGGCGGCACCTAGCGGAGGCGCCTGAGCATCTGGACACAGGGAGGCATGAATTTGAGGGACGACTGCAGACTGGAAAACACACAAGAAAATCCAGCAGTGCTAGGAAGAAGGGAGATCCTAAACAAAGCAGATCTTCAGAGAGCAGGCGCAGCAGTCACAGCGCCCGGGAGCTGCAGAGCGCGCCCCGATGCCGCCGAGTCACCCTGTCCGGATCTGGGTTGGGCCCTTGGGGCTACCGCGGCCCCCCCGCGAACCGGCCCCGGTGCCAGGGCCGGAACTTACAAGTGGCTCGGAGACTTGCGGATGCTGCTCGGAGAGCCGGACATGGTTGTGGCCGGCTGGGGCTCTGAAGGTCCACCCGTTCCCGGCCGCGCCCACAGTCCCCGCACCCAACCGCCGGCGCCGCGGGCCGGGCTCAGAGAGCGTGGCGGGCGCCATGGAGATGGCGGCCTGGGCAACAAGCGGCCGCGCGGTTGGCTGGCGGCGGGGGGCCGAGGGGAGGGCGGAGGCGGAGGGGAGGGCAGAGGGTTGGCGGAGGGGAGGAAGCTCCGGACACCGCCTCGGAGGAGGAGGCGGAGGAGGCGGAGGAGGCGGAGGAGGCGGAGGCGGGCGGCGGGGCCCACGCCCCTCCCAGGCGGCGAGTCTCCGGCTGCAGGCGGATGGATGGGGCGTCTTCAGGCGGTGGCGGCACTAGCGCGGGCGGCAGCGGGCGCGGCGGCAGCGGCTGTAAGTGGGGGCGGCCCCCTCCCCTCTCCCCTCCTCCTCCCGCGCGGGCGTGGGGCGCCCCAAGTCGTCCTCTGTCCCTTTGGCGGCGTCCCCTCCCCCACGCCGGAGCGCCGCCCGGAAGCCCCTGCACTTCCGGGGCGGGGCGTCCGTAGGACGCGCCGACCTACAAGAGCGCATGCGCAGCTCCCGTGCCGCCCGACCCCCTCCCGGCCTCCGTCCTTCTCCCTTCGCGGTGGTGGCAGAGGCAGCGCGGGGCTGCCTGGCGTCCGCGGCTCGCCGGGAGTCCGCTGCGGAGTGAGTTCGCCTCGCGCCTTTCGCTTCCGCCCCTTTCTCCTGTCGGCCCTCGATCCTGTCGGGGTGGGGCTAAGTGACCACTCCCCTGTGGCTCCACCTCTTTCCCCGCGTTGTGTCCCGGCCCGGAGGCTCTCGCCTGCACTGCGGGATGCTGGACCAACCCGCATCTGCCTTGGGAGTGGAGGAGGGGAGGGCGACCATGGGAGGGTCCCGCCGAGAGGGACGAGGTCCTCCCAGCCGTGCCTGCTCCCCTTGGAGTGGCCTTGTTCTTTCAACTTGTAGTGGAGCGGTCCTGGCCTGGAACCCCGTTCTGGTCCTCGCATGCTGTGTGACCTTGGGCGAGTCACTGCCCCTCTCTGAGCTTCAGGGGGGTTTTTTTGTTTTTTTTGTTTTTAGCCCCCTCCACCACTAAAACTGTGATTTTGCAGAAACCCTTATGCAATTACAAGGCCAGCCTACTGAGGCCGCTTAGCTGAGGCGACCCAGAGTTGACTAAACCTTTTTCAAGGATGGGTGAAATCCGGCCACCAATTTTTGGATCGCTTTCATTTCTTAACCAGTGATTACAAATTGCATGACTCCGGGTTCATTCATGTTTTTCTGATATTGTCGTGGGACAATTGGGTCCTTGACCCAATTCCCAGCCATCGTTTTAAAAATGCGAGACGGGGTGCGTGGTGAGCTCGAGCTAGCGTGTTGGGTTCGGTTTCGTCGCTACTGAGGCTTTCTCTCCTTTAATCCAGATGGTGTGGTGGCTCGATTCTCCCAGTGCCTGGCTGAGTTTCGGACGTGGTTAAGAACCAACTGGTTGAGGTTCAGTGCAGACAAGACGGATGTGATGCTGGTAGGCAGGGGCGCACTTGGCGATGAAGGGAGGGAAAATGCAGACTCCCTCAAGGAACGTGTGACTTGCTCACGGGCCAGTCTTTCCAGAGCTGGGGTGAGATGAAAATAACAACAGTGTAAGAACTGCAAACATCGTACTTTGTAACCTGATAAAATTTGGCCACTCCGTAAAACTATGTAGAGATCATGAAAAGAAAAATAAAATTGTAATTTGAAGAACCCGAAGGCTAGAAAAGTGTTTTAGGGTGGTTTTAATAATAAAAGACTAACAAAAAGGTGATGCTTTCTGTTGCATAGATGTAGGGCATCCAGATGTAACGCAATTCTGCTTTTGCAGCCTGCATTTTGCTTACTAAAGGTAGACTTAATTTATCTCAAAAGTCATTTAAGAAAATGAGATTTTGTATTTAGACATTTTCAAGCAAATTTGTAATTAGCCATTAATTTTTACCCTTCATTTCCGAAGATGTGATGCAGGCTGTCAATTTTAAAGAAAAATTTTAGTAAATAGTTTACAAAATCATCTCAAAAGGGACTCATGGGACCTGGAAATTATTAGATATAGAATTTGCTTTTAGGGTTTTGGATATATTGTATTCATCTGTTTCAGGCAAGCAACTCCACAGTGAAATTGTTATAGGATTTTCTTGTTGCATTTTGAGAGGTACCTTTTTGAGTTGCATAAACATGCCCTTATAGTGTCCAAAAATACATGACCTGTATTTGAATCAGTTGTTGATACCAAATAAAAGGTTATATTTCTTAGATGTATGTAAATGTAAACGCAGCTTATTTAAGGTACTTGTTGAGGTAAAATTGTGACCCTAAGTGCATCTTTTAACAGCAAAATAATTCTGAAGGGTTCCTGTGTTTATGAGTGTGTGTGTATGTTCCTGATGCTGCTGAAATATTGCTTAGTAACTTTTGAATGTAGGAGTCGGTAAATTGCTTAAAAATAAATTTCCCAATATAATAGCAGTTGTAAGTAGCTTCATGTGGCCAGTTAGTATTTGCTAAAAATAAAGAGGCTATTTGGTGTGGGAATAAGATCTAAAAAGGCATTTATTTAGAATTTATAGTGATATTTTTGTTTTGGGGCATAAACCATAGACTTCACATAAAGTTGGAATTAACTGCACTTTAAACATTTTACTACACTCTTCTAAGAGAGCTGCCATTTTGGATATCACATGAGTACAAACAAAATGTGCTGGTTTTGAAAGGTACAGTTAGGGGTGAATTTTCTCACGTCTGTGGCTCTATTGTATCCAATTTTCATCTCTTCTTATATCAATATGCTTTAAAGATGAATTTTTTAACCCAAATTCTTGACTTTGCATTTGAATCCAAAGAAGATATCTGTTGAATTAATCCAAAGTGCTGAAGAACTAGGAATAATGGATGAAAGTGACCCGGAGTTGATGCTGGCTGAATAAACAGAAGGATCTGAGCTTTTCTGGAAGAGAGCAGTCTCTGTGAGCTATAGTGAGTTATTGGAAGTGTTGAGCATGCAGAAAGCCCAGCAGTAGAAGCACTGACCTAAGTGCCCATTCAACACTAAGATTCTGTACCTAATGAATACTTATTTCTTAAATGGTCAATTCTGAAGAGTATAAGCAAAAGAGTTGAAAAAAGACTGCTTTCCTTAAGGTGGCCTCCAAAATTTTTAAAGATAAGTAACTCACTAGGTTAAAATGAGACAGAAGTGAACTGAGTCCTGTAATAATGTGTTACCTGTGACTTACAGTATTAGAGTATAAAAAAGGAACAATGTAGAGGAAGTTTTTTCCCCTAAACAGTAAAGCCATTTAAGGTTAACATTGCCAAACAAAATTAATAAACTTTAATTTAATCATTTAACAGTAAGAAAGAATACCCTTTCAGAAATGACTCGGACTCAGTTTTCCTGACTTTCAGGATTCATCCAGGTACCTAAGGGATCTTGAGCCTCTGCTTTTTGTCACAGTTGAGATATTTGTTAGTCATTTAACTGAAGAATCAAAGATTCCATGGACTGAAAGCAAGCAAGTTATTCTTGCACCTTGTAGTTTAGCAACACTTTAGTTTTCCAGCCAGCTAAGCTTCATACATTAACCCTTGACTATTTTAGTGGAGCACCCTCTTTGATCCCGGTGGTATAAACCCAAATGCCCACTTTCAGCTGGCCCTTTGTAGCTTTGATCTGTGTCCCCATAGGTCCACACCTCCATTGTTCTTCGCCTTCAGCTCTTCCTCAAGTGCATTCAACTGTTTGGATATGAACTGGCATTTTTATAAGGTCATTTTGTTTCAAGTCCAAAGTATTAACAGCCTAGCTCCTAGAAACTGTATATCTATCTGTGGTGAATACTTTATTTACTCAAGGAATCCTGGGGGAAAAAACCACTTTGTATATTTTCTTAAAAATAAATTTAAATACTGTACAGTACAGTTAATGGTACAATTTGTTTGTAGACTTGGGAACCCTAAAGTTTTCCTTTCTCTTCTTTCCTTTGCTTTTCTTTCAGTAGAAAATGTGCATCAGATGTTTATGTTTAATTGGTTTACAGACTGTCTGTGGACTCTTTTCCTGTCAATTTACCAGGTAATGTCCTTTCGCTTAGCAGCTACTTCATGTACCTATCAATGCAGCTTTTTCATGCATAGATTATTATTGGACATAAGTTTCAGGTTAATGTTGAATCTTTGGAAACAGGAAAGTGCTTGATAGAGTCTAGAGCTTTAAGGGCATACAGATAATTTAAGAAAGTAGCGCCTTCCATATTGCATTCTAAGTGAATTGAAAATATATATGTATACACATACATGCGTTTAGGCAATATATGGTAGCACTGGCATCACATTATTTTGAGGGAACTGTAATTCTCATTTAACTGTTTGATTTTGGTAGTTATTTTTGAAACCCCATTAAGAAGAATCCTTGAAGATTTGAAAAAAAAAAGTCCTTTGAAATCAGATTTATTAATCCTGCTTTAGTAAATTACATAGTGTCCGCTTTAATACCGCCTTTATTAGCCAGTACCGCCCGGGTAAAGGAAGTGAAAGTAGTTAACTTCGAAGCCCTTGGCCCGGCGATCGTGGGTATTGGCCTCGCGGTGCGGTCTGCAGCCGCCGGCCCGCACCTGAGGGCATCTCCGGCTTGACGAATGAGTGGGTTCGACGCCCGGCCGTGGACTGAAGTAGCGGACAGCAGCTTGTCAGTATTTTACATTTAAAAACTGCAAAAATTCAGCCGATGCACAAGTACGTTGCTGCTGGCTTTTCAGAAGTGAGAAAGCTGGTGAGCTGGAAAGGCGGCCGGCGCCTCCGTCCGGCGGGACTCGCCCGGGGCCCGTGTGACCCGGCGCGGTCGGGGCTGACGCATGGGGGGCGGCGGCGCGGAGGTCTGCAGGGCTCTGTCTCGGCCG